AGAGCTGTTCTGTCCATCTTGTACACACACATACACGTACACACATACCCCCACACAAACAGAGTCAGAGATCCATCTGACTTCTCTCATGCTCTCTCCCCCACCTCAGTGTTGGCAGGAAGTGACTCTTTGACAGAGCGGAGCTTGCTAAATAGCAGTCTCTCTGATAAAGAGGATTTGGACCAAATTCCTGGTGTTTTGGACGGAGCAGCAGGCTCGACTTGTTCTGTTGGATAGCCTACATTGTGTTTCTTCATGCTGCTAATGTGCAACAAACAGAACTTTTTACTAATGATCCCATGCTTACGTGATCCTTTTTATAAGGACTCTGGAAGCCAACAGATAGGCACCAGCTGAATATTTTTCCATTAGTCTTTTTTTTAATAGTGATAGATTTCAGATGACAGAATTTGCTCCAAGCAGTCCAAATGGAAGAGATTAGCCATCTAAAGCGCTTGTTTTTACAATCATTGTGTAAAACCTACTAATGTTAGTTTATAAGTTTTTCAATCGGCTGCTTGAATGCGTGCTGAAAAAAATAGTTATGTGTCATTGCAATTTACTACTGAAATAACTGCTGTGTTAACATTTGAATGGGGTCATGGTTCAAGAAAAGGAGAAAAGGAGCCAGAACTGTTTTTTTTTTTCACAATTCACTAAAACATTTTTTGGTCATTCTAGATTAAGCTTGAATCCAAATTCTGTTATTTTGTTTGGATCTTATACCTGACATCAGTGGTGGACGAAGTACACAAATCATGTACTTGAGTTAAAGTAGAGATACCCAAGGTAAAATATTACTCCAGTGACCTCCACTTGAGTAAAAGTACAAAAGTATTTGCCTTCAAATATACTTAAGTATCGAAAGTAAAAGTACTAAAAGATTAATTATGGCTCTAATGTCCTATTATAATTTTGTAACAAGCCTCTTGCTTTATGAACTCATTTTAGGTGAAAATACTCCGCGTCACTCTTGTAACACCAATCTTTTAATAGAATGTCATTAATTAGTCTGACACTGATATCTATTAAAATCATCATAGGCACGAAACACTGAAGGCAAACAATTTCCATTAGGTAGAACCGAGTGGCCATGAAATAACGTTTTGCGAACAAACTACGTTTCGGTTTAAGATTTATTTGCAACTTAGTTAAAATAAAAATTAGTTTAGGGCTCCCGAGTGGCGCAACCGTCTAGGCATTGGCCCTATCTTCAGGAGATCACGAGTTCAATCCCTGGTGATGCTACAATTGGCCTCGCTCTCTGGGTGGGTAGGATGACCCCCCCTTCCTTCCCCATCACTCAACGTAATGCTAGTCAGTGCAGGCGTCTGTTAGCTGACATAACAGATCTGGCGGTTGGCGCTTTCCTCCGAGCGCGTTCAAATGTCCAATGACGTTGCGTGAGCGGCAGTTCGAAAAGATGCGGTGGCTGGCTTCACAGGTCTCGGAGGAAGCCTGTGTTAGCCTTCACCCTTCTAGCGCTGGTAATATTGTGTGATTGGGGGGGTCCTAACTAGCGGGTGGAATTGGCGACGACTAAATTGGGGAGAAAACTGGGTAAAAATCCCAAAGAAAATGATAAAAAAAAAGTTTAATAAAATAAATAATAAATAATAAAAAAAAAGTTTAATAAAAATCTTGCTTTAAACACAGGTTCACAAATGAGTTTTCCTTTACTATATTGCATCTGTAGGTCTCTGTTCATAAACATAAACTAGCAAAAACAAATTTACTATAAAATGAAAAAGTGTTTGTATAAATTCAGAAAACAGAAACATGCCAGTCACAACTGAATATGTGTACATATATCTATATTGTGGTCTATTTACAAAGCAGTTTCTTCCATCTTTTATGTAGGAATAGGCACCCCCAAACTAACGCTGTGACACTGATGTTAAAGCGTATGCTTGCACTGGGTAGGTATGTCCAACAGGTCAAAACAAGCTCAAAACAAAGTGCGTGCTGTACCTCGATTGATGTGCTGCTTCACTCTTTCGTTTTGACATGTTACATTTTTATGCACACATAAGCCAAAAGGAATGACAGATTTCTCATAATGTAGTGGAGTAAAAAGTAAGATATTTGACTTTAAAATGTAGTGGAGTGAAAGTAAAAAGTCACCAAATATGGAAATACACGAAAAAGTACAGATACACGAAAAAACTACTTAAGTACAGTAACAAATTATGTTTACTTCGTTACTGTCCACCACATGTACCTGACCTTGTATACGGATTATTCTGCTGAATTGGTTCAGTCACATTTCAGACTTTTAACTGACTTGGACTTCTAGACTACAAACATTTTGCTTTCAGTGGCCCTATACCTTAATTACACCCTTAAAAAAGATGGTTCTTTGAGGTTTTTTAGTAAAGAAAATGGTTCTAAATAGAATCTTGAAAACACAAAAGAACTCTTTGCATGATTAAAGGGTTCTTTGCATTGTAAAAGCATTCTTCAGATTGATGGAGAAAGTGCTCTAGATGGATCTATATAACACCAAAAAGGGTTCTTCTGTTATAACAAGCTTGTATTGTAATAATAGCATAACCCTTTTTGGTGCTACAGGATTTCCAGAAAGGCATAGAGTGACGCTTTTTTGGCTACTCTGGTTCCAGGTTTCTGATTCTGATTATGTCGGTAGTTAATCTAATGTGTAAGGCCTTCTGTCAACCTCCTGAAGATCTAACCATGTGACCAATGTCTGCGATAGCTTGGCTTTGTCTATCTAATTCCAAGGAGAATTATGTTTTTTTTTATAAAAATGAACTGAAAATTACAGACATGCATTTTTTATAATTCACAGAAATCATTAGGCCTTCTTTGAAGGCCTAGAAGGCAGTACATGTAAATTAATGCATTCTGTGGACCTTTTTACTGGCCATTCATCCTTAAATGCCAGCACAATATAAATGACAGCTGATGTTCTCAAATTGATGTACAATTTTTTTTTAATGGAATTACAACATTTTGATCTAACACTGATCTCCAAAAAAATTTTCCATTGATGACTAAAGTAGGCTATTTGATAAGGATGCTTCAACCCTTTACAAACATGCCACTGTAGAGAGGACTTGAGAGCTTTGAATTTGCGAGGTTTTCCACAGAATACAGAAGTGTGTGCCTGGCTTTTCTGTCAGCACTTTCTAGGAAGCTGTGACTGAGTGGGATGGCTACCCCTGGGTATGGCGGTGTCGATTTCTTCTGTAATGAACCCCCCGGGGACGTGGGAGAGAGGGAGGAGGTAGGGACAGCTTTCTGTGTAATTTGTCCTGGGAGGCCAAGCTAAACATCTAGCTCAGCGGCCTTTGCCGAGGCTCTCAACTGAGGGGTGGAGCTTTAATCATCACGATTCAAGTGAATTTAACCTGTCACAAGCTGGAATAGACACAAGAAGACGCAAGTGGGGCTATGTTGTGGGTGGAGCTAATTGTTGAGCCCTACCCATTACCTTTTTAGGTGGAATGTGGGGTGGGGCCACAGCCACTTCTTCCTAAGTGCAAGCTGGAAATCAGGGCATAGCTACTTGTTACTTTTTAGGACTCTATTACTCATGTCTGGAATTCCAGAGAGGTTTCGAGGGCACTACAATTTGCACCATTGCACTTGTTTCTAGTGATGCGCTTGTTTTTAGTAATTTCTAATGAACACTTTAGATCACTACATCAGCCCCAAAAATGCTCTGTTAGTAAGAAACAGAGGAATGTTAGCTAAAATTAACAGCAAACAGTAAATGAAACTTTCTGACTCTGTGGCAAAACACGGCTGTAAAGAAATGGCAGCACTTTACAGTTAAAAACAAAGACCCTAACACGTTTACTATCTATTGCTCATTGTATAGAAAATGCTTAGGGTTAACTGTTGTCTGTTACTGCAGTAACGGACCAAGAATTACATGTGTAGTTGGGTTTTTTGCATTTTTCTGGTTTCCGTCCCCCATATTTTCGAAAGGTTGCATCAACATCTGCAGTAATAAACAAGAAGAATGAAAACGTCCGCCTCACTTAAGCTCATGATTTGTTTATGTCACTGGTGAATGCTAACACATTTTGATGAGAAAGTGTATTAATTAATTTAGTAAACTAAATAGTTCCCCAATATTATAGCACAATATAGCACAATACTAATGAGGCCATCGATTAGTCGGCTATGGCTTATTTGCAACGTAAGCATTGGGAAAAGACCCTGATTTTTTGGTTCCTGCCAGGGAAAAAGTTGTAGGTACCGTGATGGGTCCAGTCTCTGGCCTTCGATCGATCACTCCCACAGCCCCTCCCACCCCCACTTTCTCTCTCTCTTTCTGCTTATTATGCACACGGCGCCTCAGGCACTGGAGCGCACCCTGTCATTCAAACAGACAACCTTAACCAGACGCAGTGAGAACTGAACAGGAAACTGTCAAGCATATCAGCCTGCCAGTGGAGTTTGCAGTCAGAAGACATTTTTCGCATTGATCTCGTTTCACGCTTTGAATTTCCCATTTCTCTATTTTGCCTTCGATCTCTTTTGACCACTCGTTCTGTTTAATTGTGTAAACACAGGGAGGTTACCTTTGGCTCTGGGTACAAAATGGCAGGTTCTTGGGGAATATGAGCGTGCTTCTGTTTTTGGCCACGGCCGGCAGGGTCACTGGGTATTTTTTAATGAGGGCTGCTGCCTCTGCACATGATTTAGGTGGAGACGGAGGATGGATCGATCGAGAGATCAGGTTGCCCGAGGGTTTCTTCTAAAGCCGCTGAAAATATGATATAGTGAGAATACAGAAATAGCTCCTGGAGCCGCTTTGCTTAATGGACTTGACGCGCAAGCTTTTGTACCTGTCTGTGAATGAAATGTTCATTCTTCTTTTTTTACCCTTCTGTTCTCTGTTTGTCTGTCTTGCTTTCTTTCTCTTCCTCTGTCTCTGCATATGTCTGGTCATGCTCTCTCTCTCTCTCTCTCTCCATCTCTGTTCTTCTCTCGCTCACTCTCTCACTCCCTTACTCTCGCTCTGTCAGGCGGGGATGATCCGTGCAGGTCAGGAGGAGTTCTTTATCGAGCCGCTGGAGAGAGGAGGAGGCGACATGACAGGAGAGGAGGAGGGAGGAGCCGGACGACATCACATCCTCTACCGCTCTTCTGCCATAAAGAAACCGGCCGTCGGTCACGTGGATGATTTCCCCCCCAGAGGTCAGCACTGCTTCTCCTGCACTTGTCCACACAGCAGCCTTCCACTTGCATCCTGATGCCTAGTGCTACAGTGACCGAGGGAAATCATGTTGTTGGTGGTTATTCCTCCTTAGCATGGCTAATAGCTCGATGTAGGCCACTTGTATGGAGCTTCTTCCAAGCATTTCCCATGTTGGCTAAACGGCAATGAAATGAAAAATGCGACATAGGAGACCAGCTGAAATCCTATATCAACCAAGAACAAGAAAACATTTCACTTTCAAAACAGCAGCAATTGGTCTCCTCAGTTCCCAAACACATACAGCGTGTTGTTAAAAGAAGAGGTGATGCAACACTTTTTTGGAACGTGTTGCTGGCATCAAATTCAAAATGGGGACAATGCAAAGGTCTCAATTATAATATACATAATTATGTGTAAATGATTTGCATTCTGTTTTTATGTATGTTTTGCACAGCATCCCAACTCTTCTGGAAACGAGGTTGAATTTGTACATGGGGAGATGGGGAGATGGGGTAATGTAATTCTACCACACTAACGTCTGTAATGTTTATGATCGATTCGCACAAGATAAGAAATCTCAGTGCGAATGACAGAGATGGGGATGGCTACTCAATTTATGCATTGCAAAAAAGGTTCCATATGAAATCATTTGGATGCTTACAAATAGAAAACACTTGCAAAAATGTAATTCAGTTGTAACTTCGTTTATCCTAACCTACCTGTCTTAAGTCAATGCAAGAAGTCAATAGCATTGTGATCAACTCAAGAATTTACAGCCAACAGTCAGCATTGCCATATAAACTTTTTATAGAATTTTATGTTTTAATGCTGGAGTCAAACACTTCACTAGGACAATACATATTGGCATGATCTGAGCCACAGAGAATACAAGCAAATGCTTTACAAGGATGCTTTACAGCAGAAACAACAGACACAAGTAACAATAAACAATAAACTGCAGTTATGAGGCTTCTTGGGTCAGCTGTCTGTGTGGTCTGTGAAGTTTTTCTCCCTACCAGATGGCTGGCCTGAGAAGCCTCATAACTACAATGGAGCATCCCTCAGACAGCCAGCCCAAGAAGCCTCATAACTCCAGTGTAGCATCGCTCAGGTGGCCGGCCCAAGAAGCCTGATAACTGCAGTGTAACATCGCTCAGGTGGCCGGCCTGAAAAGCCATGTTGCTTTGGTGTAGCATCACTCAAATGGCCAGCTTGTTAAGCCTCATAACTGCAGTGTGTTGCTTAAGTGGCCAGCCCGCGAAGCCTCAAAGTTGCGGTGTAGCATCGCTGAGGCCGCTGGCCCAAGAAGCCTCCTAACTGCAGTGTAATATTGATTAGATGACTGGCCCAAGATGCCACCTAGCTGCGATGTAGCGTTGCTTAGATGGCTGGTGCTGGGAAGCCACAAAGTACATTAGAAGGAAAACATGTGTTTGGCAAGGCTTTTACAGTCATAGATGCAGAGTTTTATATTAAAAACCATGTGAAAAGTTCTCATACACCAAAATCTCCTGGAATTTCAATCTGTACAAATGTAATCTGTACAAAAATTATTATCTAAGGAATTCTTCTAGAAAATAATGCAATGTGTTAAAAAGCCGTTTAATTTACAGAAGTCTGCTTTGGAAATTCATTTTTGTACTTTGGAGACCTTACCCTTGAAGCACCTTTGTTAGTGACTGGATACCCTCTTTGGCTGCACACTGTTTTTTTGTTTTTTTTTTTCATTTTTGCATCTCTGTCAAATCTGTTTTACTAGTTTAGTTGCTCACATCTGTTAATAATCAGACAAGTTCTTAGTTATATCAGCAACAATTGAGTTTCCTATATAAGCTTAGCAGCTAATCTTGACCTTCATGATTTTCTGAGAATGGATCAGGACCTTGAAACTTGGTCCAGTTTAGCACAGGTCTCTGGTCTCTGGGGCTGTCGCACTTAGCTTCTGAGCTTTTCTATGTGTGCACTCCCTGATCCCACCCTGCTCTCTTTCACTCTCTCTCTTTCTCTCTCTTTCTCTCTCTTTCTCTCCCTTTTCTTTCTCCCACTCCCTGGTGCACTGTGTGGGAGAGGTGTGAGCGGAGGGCAGGCTGGATGAAGTCATAAACTTCTCTAAGAGGGATTCACATGTCACTCAGCCTCTGGCCTGCCGGGTTCAGCCAGGGGGACACGAGTAGACTCCGTCTGCATTGAAGTCACTTCACGTTTGGCTCCAGTCCTTCTGGGTCGTTGGACTTGAAAGGGGCATGAAATAATGAAAGAAGGGCTATTGAAGTGTGTGTCACCGGCTGGGTTATTCCACATCAAAAACACACAGACACATGATATACACTCACCCATTTAATAAGGTACACCCACAGGATTATTGTTACAAGAACCTGAACATACTTGTTTTATTGTGAATGATCTTCACTGTGGTTGAGCAGTTCTGTACATTTACAGAAGATATATTCCACAAAAATGGTTTATTGATTATACACTGTTGTCAGTTTATTAGAAACACATGGGGTGGAAATGGCCAGGTTTTAGTGGGGGAGCCCAGGCTGTTTGTTGTTGTTTTGTTTTTTGTTTTTTGTTGTTGCCACAAAAACATGTCTTAAAATGCATGTTTCTTTTATAGTCAACCAATAAATGCTTTAAACTAATGCATTTCTTGAGAAATACTAAGGCTTTTTTAAGAGCTGAAGGTTTAAATGATTTTTACCACCTTACATCAGGGATCACTGACCTTTTTTGTGGAAGCTGAAAGAACAAACACCTTTTCTGCATGTTGCCAGTAACAGTGTTTTAACTGATTGTTCCATATAAACCAGCTTTGGCATTTTCATTATCATTATCATAATCATTAATGCTTTGATTGAACACCAGGGACGTATTTTACAAAGCAGGATTTCTCAATTTAGCCAGATAACTTTAGCTCAAAATCAAGCCTGTCCATTAGGAAAAGAGCTAAAGGCTGTCAATATTGGACAGTCCACTTCTTTGGCTTTAACGTAGGTGAGAAAGCTTGCATTGTGAGATGACCTGAGCCGGAATGCCGTTCTGTGGTGGCCCATTTCCACCCCAAATGCACCTATTTTGTACCTACACCTAATGGCCATTTTATGAGGTACGCTGATCATAGAGGTTTATTTCATCTAAATTCCAATTTACTATTATAGCACTTTTCACAACCCAATTTCCAAAAAAGTTAGGATGCTGTGAAAAAGGTACATAAAAACAGAAACAATAATGTGCAAATCATTTCAACCCTATATTTAATCGAAAATAGTACAACGACAACATATCAAATGTTGAAACTGAGTAATTGTATTGTTTTTTGAAAAATATATGCCCATTTTGAATTTGATGTCAGCAGCACCTTTCAAAAAGTTGGGACGGGGACATGTTTACCACTGCGCTTCATCACCTCTTCTTTTAACAAAACTCTGTAGGCGTTTGGGAACTGAGGAGATCAACTGCTGTAGTTTTGAAAGTGAAATGTTTTCCCATTTTTGCTTAACATAGGATTTCAGCTGCTCAGCAGTTCAGGGTCTCCTTTGTCATATTTTCCATTTCATTATGCACCAAATGTTTTCAATAAATAAAAAAGAAACAAAGTGAGCCTAATCAGTTGGCAGAAGTATTCAGATTACCCTATGAAATCAGTGAGTAATATTGGAAGCCTATCAGAGATGATCTTAAAAAGACTGAGAATGAGAATTAAATTCTTTGCTCTGAGGATGTTAGTATGGTGCACTTTATAGGCAGATAATTAGTGACTGTAGCTGTCTACCCTGTCTATTAATAGAATGCCCACCCTAAGACCACTGCTGATCAAATGTTATTTGGGTGGTGTGACATTCTTAGCAATTCTCAGCACAGCGAAGATACCAGTATGGTTTTGGCATAGCCATAAATATAAATGTTGCTGGAGTTACAAGTTAGGTAACTATTAAACTGGAAACATTGTGTATAATACAATGACATTAACCTGTTAGGAAGGCTTTATTTTGAGTTTATCTCAAACTGTGTGGAATATTTGTGCTAAAGGTTGATGGAGTGTTGCTTTTGGGATCTGGATGTTTTGACTTTAGAGGTATAGCTGTTTAATTAGAGCCATATCTTTGCTCCCAGAGGCCACATTTAGAGTAATTGTTCACACCTGCTCTTTGAAGTGGGACACAGTGGCATCTCAGATTTACTTTGGATCATCATATGTTGTTTTAGAGGCTAATGTAAAAGGAATGATTCAGTTGAATAGATTTTGGGTGCAGTTATCATAGACCCAGACCCTGTAGTGTTCCTGAATGTACAGCAGTGCATGCGTGGTGTTATAGTTGTTTTGTGTACTGCAACATCTGTAACCTAGCAGAGCAGACATAACATTACCCAAGACTAACAATAACAAAACAACTGGCTGTGTGTAGTAAAGAGACATGTGTAGAAACGTTGACTGGCGTGTGTGTGTGCGTGCAGGCATATGTGTCTGTTTTGGTATATACTATGCAAAGACCATGTTTCATTTATTTAATAAACAGCCATTAACTACACGTTATATTTTCAGAAGATATTTCAAGATAAATTAATATAAATCTCTTACATAAGAAAGGGGAAACTCAAAGTAAAAGAAGTTGTTTAGCAAGACCTGGTAGACCACCAGAATGATCACCATTAGATAGACCTCTTACTACAGATCTGAAAAAACGCTCTGGTCCTGAAAGGATGTGCAGCTGTAAAGAGAAAAGAAAAAAAAATCACGTCAAAAAAAAAAAAGGACTGTCCATCCTAGAGCCCAGACCTCAACATCACTGAATTTGTTTGGGACTGCTCGGATTGTAAGAAGCAGAAAAATATCCCTGCAGATTTTCTTGAAAAACTTCTGAAGAGTATAGACCAGCTCGGTATAGGTCGGCAGCTCGGTTGTTAAGAAGAGCCATTTTGTCCTTTCAATAAAAATCAAACCATCTTGGGAGCCACAACATTTTACAATCTTGGCTGCAAATATGTCTCAGTACGTGAG